TCTCTGTGAGTTCGAGGCCAGCCTGGTCTACATAGTGAGTTCCAGGCCAGCTGGGGCTACAGGGAGACCCTGCTTCAAAAAGACCAGAAAACAGAAAAGAAAAGAAAAGAAAAGAAAAAGAAGAAACGCAGCACCGAGAATCGTGGTTGTTTTCTTAGTGTGTTTTCTTCTACCTGGCGGGGTTTGTGTTTTTGTTTTTTTTTGGTTTTGGTTTTTTGTTTTCCTTCTTTCTCATATGGTTTTAGCCCAAAGAGGTAATTCAGAAGAATACAAAATGAATATTTGCAGCAAAGGTGATTTAGCAGCACATTTGCAAGTGGATAACGATGCGGCAGATCGTGTTTGCTCACTGAAATTCTGTACAGATAGTAAACATGAAAATACACAAATATTGAAAGAAAGTTCACACATGTACCTACTCAGAAGTGTTTATAAAATAAGTAAAACATGGTGAAACATGCAGTTGATTAATAAATGTCAACAACTGCACAGTAATAAACAGAAATGCAAATACCTAAAGGAGGGACATGCAGTGTTTTGTACATGGTTCTCTAAAGTTAGTCTTAAGCCAGAGGTGATAGCTATTTTTAAATGCTACTGTTGTTTTTGCTACTTTCCTAGTCAACACAGATGCAGAGACTGCTGTTGTCAATGTCACCTATGCAACAAGAGAAGAAGCAAAAATGTAAGTGGATTTAGTTCTGTTTCCTTGCTGGTTTATTTTGGTTTGTCTGGATTCCTTTGAATCCTCTGTCTGTAAACACTTTCTGAAAAGACAGGTTGACAGCTGATCCACGTCCTCTTTGACAAGCTAGCAGACCTCCATGGTGTTCTCACCAGTCAGTACGCTCCAAGGTCTTGCCTTCATTAAATTCACAAAGTGGGGGCTGGAGAGATGGCTCAGTGGTTAAGAGCACTGGCTGCTCTTGCAGAGGACCTGGGTTTGGTTTCCGGTACCCACATTGTTCCTAACAACTGTCAGTCACTCCAGGGGTTCCAACATCCTCTTCTGACCTCTGTGGGCATTGGATAACATGGGTGCACTTGCATGTATGTATGCATGCAGGCAATATACTCATACACATAAAGTAAAATAATAATAATTTTTTTTAATTTGAAAAGTGCTTTAAGACAAATTTACAAACTGTCAATGTTAACCTAGTAGAATTGCTGCCCAGAACATGTAATGGCATTGTTCTACTTCATGTACAACTTTAAAACACAGCAGTGAATTGTCATTTATAGTAGTTTTTTAAATAATAATTTGTAATTTTGAGGATTAAGACAATAAATATTCTAAGCTGCTATAGGATGATTCATACTGAAACCTTTCTGGAAGGACTAGGTAGTCTAATTCTATTAGGAATCTGTCCCATGGATGGAGTTGTAATTGCAGAGATGCTCATGAAAACACAAAGGTAATTAGAGAAGGATTGGACATAATTTCCCTATTTAGCAAAGAGGCTCAGTAGCAAAAAATTATAGTGAACTAGTATAATGTTAACCTCATTTAAAATTTTTATCAAGCAGAGGGGCAAGAAATTACATCACAAAAATAATGACAGAAAATGTTTAGATTGTTAAAGGTTCTAAGGATTAGAAACTACGTACCATTTTAATACATTTCTGTAAATTATATATATAACTGAGATGCTCATGAAAACACAAAGGTAATTAGAGAAGGATTGGACATAATTTACCTATTTAGCAAAGAGGCTCAGTAGCAAAAATTTATAGTGAACTAGTATAATGTTAACCTCATTTAGAAATTTTATCAAGCAGAGGGGCAAGAAATTACATCACAAAAATAGTTAATGACAGAAAATGTTTAGACTGTTAAAGGTTCTAAGGATTAGAAACTACGTACCATTTTAATACATTTTTATAAATTATATATATAACTGAGGAAAGATAAAAATTTTCTTTTTTAATTAATTTCTTTTTATTTTGCGTATGAGTCTTTACCTGCATGTATGTAAGCGCATCCATGTTGTACAATGCCCACCGACCCCCCTCAGGCCAGAACAAGGCAGTGGATCCCCCTGGAACTGAAGTTATGGACAGTTGTTAGCTGCCAGATGGGTGCTGGGGACCAAACCTAGGTCCTTCACAAGAGCAGCCAGCGCTCTTCACTGCTGAGCCATCCCTCCAACCCTTAGATAAGGATTTCTTAATTTGTGTTTCTGTGTCACTGAATTCTCCAAAATATATTTAAACAAATTTTGTGTTATGGTTAAAAATAATCATGAATTTAGCCTGGCATAGTGGCACATGGCCTATAATCCCAGTACTTGGGAGGCAGAGGCAGATGGATCTCTGTAAGGTCAAGGCCAACCTGGTCTATGACATAGCCAGGGCTGTATAACATCACTGCTTAAATAATAATAGCAACAACAAAAAATTCTGTGCTATGATTAAAAAGAACAGTGATAATTTTAGACCCATTCCTACAGAGGTTTTGATGAGGGCAAGTCAGCACTGGGTGGTATAGAAAAAAGGCAAAATGCAGAATTGTGTATCAAGTCTGACCAGATCTAGGTGTGATCACTTGTTTAATTGTTAACTGCAGGCTCCAGGGGGAGAGATAATATTTAACTTGCTCACTCTTGTGTCCTTAGTGCTTGACACAGGCACCCACATCAACTGCTGGATGAAGGGAGAGAGAAAGCCAGCCTTCCAGTCTTCTAGAGCCTTTCCTGATACTACTCTCTGACAACACTTTCCCACCCCACTGTGTTTCAGAGCCATTGAGAAGTTAAGTGGGCATCAGTTTGAGAACTACTCCTTCAAGATTTCCTACATCCCGGATGAAGAGGTGAGCTCCCCTTCGCCCCCTCAGCGAGCCCAGCGTGGGGACCACTCTTCCCGGGAGCAAAGCCATGCCCCTGGGAGCTCTTCTCAGGCCAGACAGATTGATTTCCCGCTGCGGATCCTGGTCCCCACCCAGTTTGTTGGTGCCATCATCGGAAAGGAGGGCTTGACCATAAAGAACATCACTAAGCAGACCCAGTCCCGGTACGTGCCTCCGGGACTTTCCTTCCTTTTGAGGGGTTGGCTGCATCCTGGGCTCTTCAGCCGTTCTCAAGTTGCTTTCACCAGCAGTGGAAGGCTGTGCTGTATGGGACAGTGGCTTGTTTCAGTAGGACTACTAACAGACTCATCTCTTGGGGCTGTGATGAGCTTTCATGCCAGTGACATAATCAGCATTCCCTGAAAGGCTAAGGGTCTGTAAAGAGGGCACTGATGGCGTCCACCAAGGATTGTCCCATAACCTAACTAATTCTATGAGCACACCTAGTTCCAGAGCAGCCCAGAGGGTCTCTATGGGATCATAAGATGCTCTCAAACTTGGCTTTTACCTCCTTCCCCAAGTCAGAGCCCTGGGGATAGCAGTTCTTTGAGACCACCTAGGTCACCTCACATAGAAGTGGTGAGTCACTGCTGTATCAAGCAAGAACCAAAGTATACTGGCATTATGTCTAATTTTTGGTTTAAGAAAACTGAACTAGAGTTAGCAATCATGGGCAAAATGACTTGTACAATGTTGAGTTTTATATGGTCACAAGACAACAGTACCATGTGATGAAGTAGACTTGAAAACAGTGACTTGTGTTCAAGTTTTTACTCTTACTGTGTGATCAAGTGAGAAAAATGTTTAACTTCTTTGAGTATCAGTTGCTTATATAAAAAAGGGAGGTCATTAGGTTGATATTATTGTCAGAATTCAAACAATTAGCTTAAATGAAATCATTAATATGAAAGCACTTAAATTGCAAAGCAACGAATTACTGGGAAATATTATTTACCAGCGTAAACTAGTGCATTTTAGTCAGGTCACTGAGTGAGTGCCCTGTAAATGAAAGAGAAAGTCTATTTTTCCCAGTATCTGAGGAACCTCCATGTCCAGATACTGGTGTGGGTGAGACCAAGAGTGCAGACTCACTGGAGGGAAATGTTGAAATGACAGAAAAATTCGGTTTGATGTTCCTTTTATTTGATAAACCAGCCTTTCCCACCAAGTTTGCTTCACTATAAAGTCATTTTTATTTCTCTTGTTGTTCCAAAAATTGTTAAAGGTGACTTTAAATAGAGTGAAGAGTAGTTCTCAAAGTATGTGCCCACATTTAAGAAGTAATGAAGACTTGACTCTGGACTTTCTAACAGTCAAAGTAAAAAAGGGATGCAATCAATTATGTGATTTTTGAAAGTTAACAAAAGCACATAGGGCCACAACTATGCAAAGAAGCCTGGTAAACTCATCAAGTCATTAGTATTAAGAACTTGGAAGAAGGCCGGCTGCCCGTAGAAAGGAAACCGAAATCTTAGGGAGGCAGAGAGAGGGCATGCCTGTTTTCTGTCTGCACTCAGCTCTATAAACCTTGCGTGAATTTGGTGTTTGAATGCGGATTAACATGTGGCTTTTAAGGGCTCTGCTCAGGGCAGGGAGCATCGCTGTTTTGTCATCACTTTGCTCTTCAGTTCTACAGTCATTTGAAAGGCTACACAAAATACCTCTTTTCCAGACTGGTTTCATTACCAAGTTGGCTGGGTGCCTTTGCCCTGCAGCACTCCTGTAAGAATGGTCCTCTTCTAAGCAGAGCTGTAGAGGATTTAAGTTTGCCACAAGACCCCCTGCATGCTGGCCTTGGAGAATGGTGTCAGTTGCAAACACGCTACTGATGCTTCCTCTGTTCTTGCTGTCTGTTGACTGGTGCACTGCTTTCTTAGGACTAGGCCCTGTTCCCAATGCTGTTGTGCTATGGCTCCCAATTCTTTTCCTATAGGGTAGACATCCACAGAAAGGAGAACTCTGGGGCTGCAGAGAAGCCTGTCACCATCCATGCCACCCCAGAAGGGACATCTGAAGCATGCCGCATGATTCTTGAAATTATGCAGAAAGAGGCTGGTGAAACAAAACTGTAAGTCTGTGTACGGTGCCCAGACCACTCAATTCAGTAAGATCAAGAAATATTTTTAAAGCTGTAAGTCTGTTACTCAGTAAAGGGGCAGTGGAGAGGTCTTTTTAAGAAATTTGTTCCCAAGAGGAACATAGTGGGAAATCAATCTTTTACATTTGCAGCATGACTGTTTCTTCACTTGTATTTTGGTGATCCTACTGTACACATCACGATCCATTAGTGGAAATATTGATAGGAACGTAGTGTAGTCCAGTAGAACTTTCAATGATAGAAACATACTCTATATCTTCAGTGTTAAATCAAATAATTGCCAGTACCTACTGAGTACCTGAAATGTAGCTATTGAAATAAGAATGTTCTAAATTCAAATTTATAGATTTAAAAAACTTGTTTATGTGTATGTATAAGTATCTGTGTATATATGCTACATGTGAGTGGGCATCCATGAAGTCCAGATCTCTTGGTGCTGGTGTTACAGGTGGTTATGAACCACCTGATGTGGGTGCTGGGAACTGAACTCAGGTCTCTGAAAAAGCACCAAGTTCACTTAACTGCTGAGCTGTCTCTCCAGCCCCACTAATTCAAATTTAAGTAGCCATGCATGTGGCTAGTTGCTATCATATTGGACATGCAATCACATCGAACGCAAAAATAGAACGCATATTGTTAGCACAGTCATCTCGTACTGTTCTAGAAAGCTTTTCCCCTGTGCTTCTGAACTCTTGTACTCCTAAAATTGGATTACATTTCCTTAAGGAGTAGAAACTGACTTCTGAGTGGCCAGTTTGCTCCTCTTGCTCTTTTTACTTTTATCTGCCTCCTTTAAAAAAATATTTTAAATGAAATAGTTAAGATTCCATAATGTAATGAGCATTGTATCAGTTCAAATGGCAAACACACGTTCTTCTAAATGAGTTGATTTTGTACTATAAATGAATTTGGTGGTAATGCAATAGGCAGTATAGTTTTTAAAAAGACTCAATCTAGAAGAGATCTGCTTGTGGGCAGTAGTGGCAGTTTGATAAAGAAGCAGTATGGAATGAATTGAATGTCAAGGTAATTTGACAACTGTATCAAACATGACTTGCAAAACCAAGATGAAAATTTTAAAGAGAGGAACGTGGTAGGTGACTTAAGGAAATAGAGCTTTCTAGACAGTTGGGTAGTTACTCCTATGAACTCATAGCAGCATGAACAAGTCCCACATAAGCTCAAGCCACACAGACTCCTAGAGTAGAAGTGGGGAAGTAGATAGGAACCTCCAGCCCTACCTGAGGAACCTTGGCAACTGATGGCTGCTGGGAGGGGGAGAGTGAGTCGTCTTTAAGGGTGTGACTGTTGGTTAACCAGGCTCCAGTAGATGGAGCCATACTGAAGGGTTCATTCATATATACATATATACATGTATATATGTATATATGTGTATGTGTATTAAAGGGAGTGCATGAAATCGAGCATCAAAATGTATGAAACGGCAAGAGGGGTTTAGATAGGAGAGGGACAGGGGATCTAAATATGATAAAAATAAGAAATTCACAAAAATTCAGTTAAAAAATAAAGAACATTGAAAGTCTGTAATCAGATTTCCATAGAGAGCTCTAACTGTTCACTTAGTATCTGCTCTACTTGGGGCTTTTGAAGTCCCCCATATGTTTTGACTTAATTTGAGGAAACCTTTCTTTGATTTTAATTATTGAGATTTTACAAATAACACCCACCTTGGTCCTTTGATCTAGGAATAAACAACTTAGAAAATTCTAAATAGTCACAAAGATGGGTGTTTGAATGGGGTTAAGATTTCACATAGAGTCAACATAGAGTTTTAATGTCTTTGAGATCATGTTCTATGAGTAGCTACACTGTGCTAAGCACTGTGCTTAGTGCTGAAGAGGACGTACAGGTGAGAGATGCGATGTCTATGACTGCGTGTAATGGGACTTCTAAGGTTTCGGGGACACAGGAGGGACTTCAGGGTTCCAGAAAAAGCCTCCTGTTTTAGAGGACAGAGCCCAGAGAGGGTGAGTAGAAAGTAAAAGTACAGGATGAAGATCCTAAACTTTTTCAATTTTCCAAATATGTATCATCTACTATGTGCCGGGCACTGTTCTGTGTGTCAGGGACTCAGCTGGGGACAAAGCTAACAGATGTCTCCGCCCTTAGGAGGTTACATCATGGGGGAGTTTCTTTAAGCATCCTGCTTATTGGAGGCAGTAGTAATGAATCTCTCAGATGCTTTTGTTGAAGTAGCAGAAAATATAAGTGGCTTACATAGAAGAAAAATTATTATGTCCTGTAACAAGACGTCTTTAGTTAGAATAACTCCAAGGTGAGTTGAGCTGTGAGTACAAAGATTTGAGACCGATTTTCTGTCTTACTGTTCTCACAGTGTTGCAGACTCCTTGAGGTAGGTATGATTTCAGACCTTATATCCCTGGAAAAGTATCCCGAGCGTGAAACAGAGGCCCTCACTTTTTTGTGCCTTTTTAAATGTTTTTAAGAACTGTGGTAGAATGTAGAAAATTTACCACCTTGACCATTGTTGAATGTCTGTGTCCTCCTTTGCTTCTCTATTACTCTGATAAAATAGTGACCAAAACCAACTTTGGGAGGAAAGGGTGTACTGCATCTTACACTTCCAAGTGACAGTCTGCCTTTGAGGGAAGTCAGGCAAGTACTCAGGGCAGGAAGCTGGAGGCAGGGATGGCACTGCCCACAAAGGGCCAGGCTTTCCTACATCAGCCAGCAATTAAGAAACTGCCTCACAGACAGGGCCACAAGCCAATCCAGCCTCTATTGAGGTTCTCAGGTGACTTTAGTTTATGTCAAGTTAATCCAAAAACAAAACAACTAACCAGCACAGTACAGTTCAACAGTGTTAAGCATGATCATTTACATTATTATAAAATGGATGTCCAGAACATCTGTCAAATCTGAAACTCTGTATCTATCGAACGACTCCGTTTTCCTTTCTTTCACCTCTGGTAAACCACCACGGATGTGTATTTGTCTTCCTGTACTGGTTTATTGCAGTTAGCGTAACGTCCTCAAAGTTCTTCCATGTTGTAGTCCATTAAAAAAGTGCCTTTCCCTTTAAGTCTGGGTAATACTCCATCGTGTGTATTCCTGCCCCGGGTTTGCCCGTTTGTTTGTTGCTAGGTATCTTGTACTGCGTCTCCTTCTTGGCTATGGACGTGGGTTCACAAAGACTCTGCTCTTGATTCTGTTTGATATATACCCCAAAGTGGGATTTCTGGATCATACGGCAGTTCTGTTTTTTAATTCATTTCCCACTGGCCAGACCTGCTGTATGGACCCACTGCCAGCTAGTTAGGAGCAGGAGGTAGAGTTACCATGGTGTGGCTTATGCCAGTCAGAATTTTTGAACTGGATTTGGGAAGGAAGTTGGCTTTAATTCATAAAAAGAGAAATTATGATTCTTGGGAGATAACATCACGTCCGTCTTAAGTGTTAAATCCTTCTTTGTCTTTTCAGTGCTGAAGAGATTCCTCTGAAAATCTTGGCCCACAATGGCTTGGTTGGAAGACTGATTGGCAAAGAAGGGAGAAATTTGAAGAAAATTGAACATGAGACAGGGACCAAGATAACAATCTCATCGTAAGCTACCCATTCTGATTAATTGTGTACAAATGACTGATTTGAGCATTTCAGAAAGTGTGCTTAACCTAGCCATCTGCTTTTCTCTAAACTGGAATACAATCTTGCATGACATAATCAGTCTATCCTCACCAGAAGCAAATACACAGGATTTGTGGGGTAGGTTGGTGGTAGAGTGCTTCCCTAGCATGAGGGAGGCCTGAGCTTCCATCCCTAGCACCACACAAGAATTAAAATCAAAGCTAACATCTGAGCCTGTGGCAAAATCAAAGCTAACATCTGAGTCTGTGGCATGGCCTGTAATCCAGGCTACTGGGAAACTGAGACAGCACAACCAGAAGCTCCAGACCAGCCTTGGCTACAGAGTGACTTCAAGGATAATCTGGAAAACAGTGAGACCTTTCTCAAAATAAAAAGTAAAGTGAGGGCTGAAGATACAGCTCAGTGGTAGAATGCTTGCCCAGCATGTGTGAGGCCCCAGATTCAGTACACCCGCCCGGCTGCTCATTATGTATGTAATCCAAGTCACTGGTAAGATTTGAGATTACATGGCAGACGTTCTTTTTTTAATATTTACTTTTTATTTTATGTGTATGTGTGTATTGCTTGCATGTATGTAAGTGCACCTGTGTCATGCAGTGCCCATGAAAGTCAGAAGGGGGCGTCAGATCTCCTGGAACTGGAGTTACAAATGGTTGTTAGCTGCCATGTGGGTGCTGAGAACTGAACCTGGGTCTTCTGCAAGAGCAGCCAGTGCTTTCAACCACTGAGCCATCTCTCCAGCACCATGGCAGAAATCCTCTGCTGTAGTATGTTATGAAGAACCTAGTCATTGCCTCTACCCAGAGTTGTTTGTGATCTGGAATTTAGTTTTCCTTGTCAAACAGGATATTCTTTTTTCTTTATCCCCCTGGGCAGCTTGCAGGATTTGAGCATATACAACCCCGAAAGAACCATCACTGTGAAGGGCACAGTTGAAGCTTGTGCCAGTGCCGAAATAGAGATTATGAAGAAGCTGCGGGAGGCCTTTGAAAACGATATGCTGGCTGTTAATGTAAGTGCCCAGGGCTTCCATCCCCACTGGCCTTCCCACCCACCACTGAGGCAGGACCCGAGCCCTAGTCTTGCCATCCAGCTAGCGCGGAAGTGCCTTAGGCAGGTACAAGGAGTTTCTTAGCTTCTTAGGGGAAGGCATCAAATAGTCAGGAACCAACTAGTGCATGATGATAAACAAGAAACAGTTTGAAACCATTAAAATCATACCTTCAAGAATGTAAAATGGGGAGATGATTATGATACCATGTCTGTTAAGAAAAGAAAGGTGTGAGAGAGCATACATTTAACTAGGATTACAGTTATGAGAAGTAATATAGATAAAAATGACCAGAAGGTTCTGTTTTACCAGTAAAACTAGCAGGGTAGTTAGAAAAGTGGATTTCCCCCATTTTCTAAACTTTGTATATTTATTGTCTTTTTCCTCTTTAAAATTTAAAATGTATAATTTAAAATTAACTGGACTGGAGATGCACCTCACTGGACTGGAGGTATACCTTACTGGTGGAGTGTGTGCTTAGCATATGTAAGGCCTTGAGCTCAAAATTCAGCACCAAGATGAAAGCAGACACCAGGCCCGGCAGCGTCTGTACTACCAGCTGCCCCAGGGGCCAAGCTGAGACTGCTGCACCCAAGAATTTCAGACTGGTGGGAGCGAGGGAGAAGGGGGAGGAGGGAGGAAGGGAGGAGGAACTCCTGGTACTCATGTCTTGCTTGCTCACTGGCCATCCTCACTAATACCTGCAGGACACTGCTGTGGGTGCGTCCTTTCTGTTACTGCTGCCTACTTAATTCTTACTTAATAATTTTTAAAATCTTAGAAATATTTATCCATCATCAAAGACCACTCTCAGCTCAGAAGAGTTAAATTTTTCATTTTTTATTACATGTTCTAAGGATGAAAAGGATGCTCTGATGAGCCCTCGTAAATCCATAATACAGATCCGGTAGTTATCACCTTATATGGCCTGTTTGACGTCCTCCACCTCCCATCCCTGTTAGGTAACTTTGACCTGAGAATATTTCATAGAGGAATAAATGTCGACAAAGTGACCTGTGGGAGATTCCCAGCTTCCTCACAGCAGCAGGTCAGCGTCTGTCTTCCGTGACTCCACCCTACCTGATCAGCCCACACCACACAGTAATTGTGAAGTAGAATTAGGAGGGGTGGAGGAGACTGTACCATGACCGTCCCTGGGTTTGGATGCCTTTGTGGAAGTATCATTTGATAACTTGTTTTCTTCTTGTGTGCTTGATATCTTCTAAGCATCTCTTTCCAGGAATGCCTGGGTATGCTAAAAAAAAATATGAGTGCTCTGCACATCACCATTTAAGAGTTTATTACTTAGCGCTCTGTACCAAGTCTATGCTCGGAGAGAGGAATTACAAAATTACCAGGTCTTACATATCACATGAAGTAACAGTGAGGGGTTCCAGTTCTATTGTTCTGCATTCTTTTCAAGAGGGCATGTTGCAGGGTGACTTTACCCACAGAGGAAAAAAAAACCATTTCATGTTCAGGAAGACAAGGATCAGAACAGGTTGGGCACAGGCCCATAGGTGACTGCATTTCTCTGCCTCTGAAGGGCTCTATCCATACACCTCACCTCCAGACCTGGTAAGCTTCTCCAGGTTGAAATGTGAAATAAGTGGAACGGTCCTCAAGCTAGAAACTAAGTGAAGAAGAGAAAGAAAGGAAGCACCTCAAATTCCAATAATGAGATTTGCCTATGTGTTCTCTAGTGAAGGGTCTGAGCATCCCTGGGTAATTAGAAATGACTATTAACCCAATTCATTTTCATTCAACAAATACGTTTTGAGTACTGACTGCATGTCAAGCACTAAATCCAACATTAAGTAAAACGGTCTCTGGTCTCAAGGAAGTAATGTTCTGAAAGGAAAGCTGTGAGCACTTGGTTCCCACACCATGAGGACTGATAATTTTAAGGAAACAGGAATGTTGGAAGAACCTACATATAGGGCTTACATAGCTCTCAGTGCACATAACTGAGAAAGTCCAATACATAGGGAAGGTCAAGGGAAAGGAGGACTTTCCAGGTCAAAAGGAGTACACTACTTGCAGCAGAGACAACATAATTCGGGCCTAGAGGTGAGGGAGTAGAGACTTTAAAGAGCAGGGTTGGATAGGTAGGAATCGGGTTAGCAGGAAAGAAGCTGATGAGGTGATCTGGGTCCCTAGGAAGACCTTGTTGGCCATAGTAAAACACGTAGCTATCCCCGCAGGTGGCAGGGAAGCTTTAACGGAATGTCATGATCAGGTTGAGGTTTAGTGTTAAGACAAAGATGTCTGTGGACCAGGGCAGAGCTGACTGGGAAATGCATCTGAGAGGTAGAGGTTGGTCACAGCAGGCAGGTCCTCTTTGGGCGCCTCTCCCTCATCTTTTTTCTCCATTTCTGTTCTCAGCAACAAGCGAATCTAATCCCCGGGTTGAACCTCAGTGCACTTGGCATCTTTTCAACAGGACTGTCTGTGCTGCCTCCACCAGCAGGGCCCCGTGGAGTTCCCCCCACTGCCCCCTACCACCCCTTCGCCGTAAGTAGCTTAGCCTCCCAAGGGTCGCTTCCGTTCTGGTACCTCCAGGCAGCAGTACCACTCTGCTTTGTTGAGTGAGGGCTAAAGCTTTTGTTTGCAGGCTGTCCTAATGAATCATCATGACATGAATAAAAGAGCGTCTTTAAACTCATGCTCTTAAACAGGGTAAGTGTCACGCCACAAAAGAGCGTCTTTAAACTTACATTCTTAAACATATGCTCTTAAACAGGGTAAGTGTCACGCCACAAAAGAGCGTCTTTAAACTTACATTCTTAAACATATGCTCTTAAACAGGGTAAGTGTCATGCCACAGAAAAGAACTCCTGGTTAATTTATTAACTAGAAGTCTGTTGTTTAAAATAAAGGATTTGTTAGCTCAGATAACATGAGTATTAGTTATTTAATATAGTATTGGAATACCTGGATGATTCTTGATTATATATATTTCTACATTTTTTCCATAATTCAAATGCATTGTATTTTATTGAAAGGAAGAGGGGTTTTTTTTGTTTTGTCTCTTTTGAGACAAGGTCTCCCTAGCCCCAGCTGGCCTGGAACTCACTATATAGACCAGGCTGGCCTGGAACTCACAGAGATCCACCTACCTCTGCCTCCCAAACGCTGGGATTAAAGGCATGCACCACCATGCCTGGCTAAAGGAAGAGTTTTTAACTGATCTATTTGTTTTTACTTTATGTGTATGAATGTTTTGCCTACATGTATGTAAATGCATCCATGTCATGCAATGCCCATGGAGGCCAGAAGAGGGCATTGGATCCACTGGAACTGGAGTCACAGACAGTTGTTAGCTACCATGTGGGTTCTGGAAATTGAACCCAGGTCCTCATCAAGAGCAACCAGTGCTCTTGACTGCTGAACCATCTCTCAAAAGGAAATTTTACAAAGAAAATGCCACAGTGTTTGTGTCGAAACAGCATACTGCCTAGTATTTTTAGTTAGATTATCAATAAGTACTCTTTGATTCACATGTTTGTAGCGAAAGAAGAAATGTGAATGGTATGTTTTCTGCTTCTTGCTGTCATTCACAGACATTATTCAAGATTAATATATTACCAAATGGGAGTTGAGTACATTTAACAGCCAGTCATTTATTGAGCAATCTGCCATTTTTATCCTTCACCTTGAAATGCCAGCTCTATCCTTTTTGTCTTGCTCTTTTGAGACAGGGTCTCAAACTGGCTATGTAGCAGACGATGGCTTTTAAGTCCTGATTCTCCTGCCTCCACCTCCCAAGTGCTAAGATTATAGGTGCGCACCACCCCACCAGTTCCAAGTATCTCCTCATCTGCATATTTCCCTCATCATATTTCTGGACTCCATCCCATTCCATTCAACACTGTGTCTATACAGAAGCTTACTATAGTTTTCTACTATCTTTGACAATTCTAACAGAAAGCTGTTTTATTTCTTCAAAGAATGAAGTGGAAAGAGGGCCAGCTTTTACTATGACAAAATGGAAGCATATACAGGAATTTTCTATTCTGCCAAGATGCGCTAAATCTCAGCCGTAAAACACCTTGGCTTGGCAACTTTTGTTTGGAAAAAGATAACTTTTTTCCATTTCTGAAAGTTTTTGACATTGCTTTGTTAATTTACACTCAGTAAAGTATCCATTTCAGGGTGGAGGGGCACTGGCCTGTGGCATGTGCAAGGCCCTGGATTTGATCCCCAGCACAGAACCCATTTCATCTCTCTTTTTAAATATAGTATCATCAAGTTGTGCATAACAGATGGTTGCCTTTTAACTTTATTTTTACTTATGTATATGAGTGTTTTGCCTGCATGTATGTAAGTACATTGTGTGTATGCAGTGCTCACAGAGACCGGAAGAGGGTGTTGAATCCCTGGAACTAGAGTTACGGACAGTTGTTAGCTGCCATGTGGGTGCTGGGAACTGAACTTGAGTCCCCTGGAAGAGCAGCCAGTGTTTGTAACCACTGAGCCATCTCTCCAGCCCCATATGGTTGCTTTTTAAATGTCCCAGCTTGTGGCCATCGATCTCTCTTTTAATTCCTAATATATAATTATATTTTTTTTCTTTCTTTTTTTTTCTTAATAAGATTTCCTAGGGACTTTTGGTTTGGTTTGGGTTTTGTTGTTGTTGTTGTTGTTGTTGTTGTTTTTTTAATGAGAGTCCCTTGTTCAGGCCCAGGCTGGCCTCAAGCTCCTTGTATAGCTGAGGTCGAGCTTGAACTTCCAAGCACCTTGCCTTCACCTCCCAGTGCTGTGCTTACAGGCATACATCACCACACCTGCTTTGTGCAGTGCTGGGAATTGACCCAGGACTTCATCAGTCTGCTACCTCAGTTACATGCCTAGCCTCCTGCTAAGGACTTTTAAATTTTTTTAATGCTTTATTGATTCTTTGAGAATGTCATACCGTGTATTTTGATCATATTCAGACTCTACCTCATCTCCTTTCAGATTTACCCCTACCTCCCTACTCCCCTTTACTATGTCCTCTTTTATTTTTTCAAGGCCTATCAGATCTGTGTTGTCCAAATGCTCTCACATTTGGATCCATCCCCTGGACCCTGGTCAACCTACCAGGTATCACATGCTTAAAGAAAAGTAACTTCACCTCTCTCAGTGGCTATCAATTGCCAGTAGTTCCTCAGCTAGGGCTGTGGCTTCTTGCCCATGTCACCCCTCCATGTTAGTTTTTTGTCTGGCTTGGGCTTACTCAGGTCTTGTGTATGCTGTCACATGCGCTGTGGGTTCATATGTGCAACTGCTCGGCTATGCCCTTGTATTTGTGTACCACCTCTGGCTCTCACAGTCTTTCCATCCCTTCTTTTACAATGATCCCTGAGCCTTTGGGGTAGAGGGTATGATCTAGGTGTCTCACTTAGGGCTGAGCACTCCACAGTTTTTATTTTCTGCATATTGACCAGTTGTGGGTCTCTGTGTTAATCAGCATCTTCTGTAGGATGGTGAGAGTTGAGAGATGAATTAATCTATGGGTATAACAGTAAGTCATTAGAAGTCAATTTAATACTATCCCAATTTAGCAGAATAATAGTAATAATTCTGTTCTACAGCCTGTGACCTGATTAGCCACACGTTCTTGACCCTGATAAGAGTGCCAGGTATGGAGGGGCTCCATACTGTAAAGCAGACCTTAAATCTGATCAGAAAGTGATTGGTTATTTCCACATTTGTGCCACTGTTGCACCAGTGGACATATCTTGCCAGGACAGTCAATATTATAGCTTATAGGGTTTACAACTGGGAAAGGTTGATGATGACTTTTCCCTTCCAGTAGCATGCATAGAGCCTTCCAGCATTATGAAAGCTAGGCAGGAGAGCTGAATCTTCAAGGTCAATACCAGCTTGATTTCTCCATGTTGTAGTGTCTTTAGTAATTGGGTCTTACTGTCAAGTTCTGAAGGGCAACCAAGAGCAGTGGCAACAACCAGTATTGTTTGAGGGTCTGTGGGCAGCAACTCCAAAAAAAGGGAGTCTGTTCTTGGCATCAGGCTTTTTATTTGCTAGCCTGTGGTGTCTGGTAGGGGCATTGTCTCCTTGCTATAGGGTAAGCCCATTGAAACTTTTTTTTTTTTTTTTGGTCGTTTTGAGACAGGGTCTTCCTGTAGCCCCAGCTGTCCTGGAACTCACTGTGTAGACCAGGCTGGCCTTGAACTCACAGAGATCCGCCTGCCTCTGCCTCCCGAGTGCTTGGATTAAAGGTGTGTGCCACCACGCCGGGCGAAACTTTTTATATAGGTATATGTATATATTTTAAGAAGCTTCTATAGAAGTAGATTTCCCAATGACTTTTTCAAAAGGCCTTCACTGTTATTACCCTTCCATACACTCCCTCCTCTACTCCTTTCCCATTTCCCACCCCATTTAACCCTTCCTAGTCCATTAGTCCCCCTCCTCTTTTATATCACTGCATTATATCTCCTTTCCCAGGAAGCCTGCCACCCCACGGCCCCAGCTACGTTCCTAATCTCTATGGATTTTCCAGTTTAAACAAACATACCTGAAGATTCAAAGGTAGCACCCACATGTGAGAGAGAACAAGCTACATTTGTCTTTCTGGTCTGGGTTACCTCACTCAGGATGACTGTTTCCAGTTCCATTCATTTACCTGCAATGTAATTTCATTTTTCTTAATATCTGAATAATATTTGACATGTAAATGTACCATGCTTTCATTATCCATTCATCAGTTGATGGACATCTAGGTTGTTTCCATTTCCTGGCTATTGTTAATAGGGCAGCGATGAACATGGATGAACAGTGTCTTGGCTATATGCTCAAGAGTGGCATGGCTGCATCTGTGGTAGATCTATTTCTAGCTTTTTGAGGAGGAGGAGCCTTCACACTGAGTTCCATAGTGGCTGCACTAGTTTGCAGTCCCAGCAGCAGTGAATATGGGCTCTCATTTCCCCCTACATCCTCACTAGCATCTGTCTTTTTTTTTTTTTTTTTTTTTTTTTTTTTTTTTTTGGATCCTAGCCATTTGGAATGGGGTAAGATGAAATCTCAATGTAGTTTTAGTTTAGTTTGTATTTCACAGATGCCTAAGGATGTTGAACTAAAAAAAATTAGCCACTTGTATTTCTCCTTTAGAGAACTCTTGAGTTTAGTTTCATGCCTCATTTTTTAATTGGGTTGTTTCCTTAGTATTTAGTTGTATTTTAATTTGTAGCTGGGCACGAGCTTCCTTTTTCTTGTCTTGTGCTGTCTCCTGTGTTCTTCTAGAGTGCCTGCTTTGCAGAGTTAATCCACCAAACTCATTGGCCAGCCTAGCTCCAGTCTGTCTTACTGCTGATTCATTACACATATGTCTAATGAAATTTATTTGTACAGACATATTTAAGTAAACTCAAGAGAGGCCATATTAGTGAATCTGTAGGGAAGTGTTTCGATAGTAATCTCTCGAGGCCTCATGTGACTTAGAATTGTGACTCTCCAGGTGTGCAGTAGGGTATAGTGGTTAAGAGCTTAGGTTTTAAAGTTGGACAGATCCAGGTTCATATTTTTCTTCTACTTCCTGATAGCTTCCCAGTTTCTATTACCCGCCCCCCCATACACACACACACATACACACACACACACATATAAGGCTTTTATCACACAAACAGAAATTAGCTTCTCCCTCCTACAAGGTCTGGGACCTTTAATCTGCCTGCCACAGTGGGCTGAGGTTACCTGCTGAACCCCCTCCTTGGGGCCTTGGGCAGCCTGCTTTCCTTTGGTCCCTGACAAAGTCGCTTTCTGTTTACCAGAGGGAGCATGTTTTCGCAGTCCCTTTCCATTTGCAGCTGTAGACCCTGTGTCAGCTGGGAGTCAGAAACAGAAAAGATAGTCTGATAAGACACGTACTCATTTACACTGATTAATACAGCCCATGCAATTTGGCCCATGGAATAACCACATCACACCCTTGGGGAACATCCGATATACCACATCTGAAACAGGTCCACAATACATGGTCTTCTTCACTCCTGCAAAATAATTCGTTTTGCCATGCTGGCCTTCCTGTCTGTAAACAGGCTAACCCATCCTGGCTCTGAACTTCTCAGAACCCTGCCCTGCGTGTCTGCTGCCCAGTCATGTGTGGTTCTAGTCTCTATGTCTTTCAACACTGAGCGCTGCCCCAGACCACCCAATCAGAGTTACTGCCTAACCCAGCTCCTTAGCTGCCAGTCTTTACCACTGACTCAGGGCTTCCCTAAGGTTATCTTTTGAATCCGCATCCCAAATACAACATAAGTTCCCTGGTAGTGGGGACCTTTTCTGTCCTAATAACTGTCCCTATCATTGAGAAAAAGGCCTCCCACATTGTAGGTGCTCAGAAGCTTTTGTGTGAGTGAATAAATTATTGAATAAGCTTCCACAGTATAATCAGATCTAGATATTTCAGTCTGTATGTGGCTAGGCCTCAGAAAGTTTTGATAAATGGTCCCTAAATTGTAGAGCACAAGATTCTGACTCAGGCTTAGGTCTGAGATTCAAACTGAAACTCACGATTGCTAAGTTCAGAATTCTTTCCTTCTGGCAATCTTGCAGCTGTGGCTATGAATGAGAGGGAATTTGTCCTTCTTATCCTTTTACAGCTAATTAATTTTTCCCTTTTTCCCAGTGGTGGGTCTGATTTCATCTGTTTGTGTTAGGACTCTGTGAGCCTAGAATAGGAGCTCTGCTGTGGTCCGTCTATTCCTGGCCCCATGTGAGTTCTGGAAGGAAAGGCAAATCACAATTCACAGTCACCCTTTTTGCCAGGAGAGCTGAAGGAAGTAGTGCTTTGGGTGAGAGGAAGGCAGAAGCCTCGGTTCCCCTGGGTAGAGCTTTGAGCAAAAAAAACAAAGCTGCAGAAATTCTTTCCCCCAACTTTTCCCTCCACAACCCAGAACAGAGAACTGTACAGAGAAGGTGCTGGAGCTGATGTGCTTCCCAGGGGAGCTTCAAGAAGAGGCAGGGCTGAGAGGGAAACCCACCTTCAGAGCTTGAGGCCACCCTGAGATTGCTGATCTGGTAGCTCCCTCTTGTGGGCATGAGGTATCACTGCAGTCTCCACATCAAAGCAAAGGCATTGAGCCCCTTGCCGTGGGGGTAGCTGCTTCCTAGAACCTTGGGAGCAGCACCTCTGGGGGCGCTCATAACTCCTCTCTGAGCTCAAAAAGAAGAGTTCATTTTTTCCCTCAGGACTCTCAAGGTGGCGTTTTAATATGGGGCTGAGTGCAGCCGGAGATGCAGATAGTGGAAGACATGCAGATCATCCTGAAATCTCTTCAGGACCTCAAGTGGAGGGTAGAACCCTAAACTCCAAGCTGCCGTCCATGTCTGGAACTGTCATGCAGAGAGGACATTGTACAATGGTCACCAGTCACCTCCTCCCTGTAATAGTAATGCCAGCGTTTACTTGACCTTATGTAAAAGGCAATTAACAAGGCTTTGCTGACCCCAGCCATTGTCCTGCCCATTAAAAAATATAAAAACAGGTGAGTCTCTCTCTTGCAGGGCTACTGTGAGGATTATTTATAAGTAGATGAAAATATTACCATCGTATCTGCTGTACTATAGATATTCACTTAGAACGCAGCCTTTCTGACTTAGATTTTCCTACTAGCACTGCTCCTTCAGGCCACACCTCCCTCTAATTCCCTGCGTCTTCCCTCTTTCCACATTTGTACGCAAGCTTTATCTCTTTCCTTTCTCTTTACCTACTGTCTCTTTCTATTTCTCCACTCTTGAGTCTCTGTTTTGTTCCTTCTCAAAGTCTCTGATGCAGGTCAGGCCTGGTGATGCACGCCTTGAATCCCAGCTCTCAGGAGGCAGAGGCAGGTGGATCTCTGTGAGTTCTAGGCCTGGGACTTGCTATGTAGATGACAGCTGCGGCTACATAGTGAGACTCTGTCTCCAATAATAATAATAATAATAATAATAATAATAAATCTCTGATGCAGCTAACCGGTCTGTCTTCCTAGGCTCACATGTTCTTGTTCTGATTGGTCTTGGATGTTGTCCCAGTACTCTCTGTTCCTTGTAATCCACAACTCTTAATTCCCTAGAAAACAGGAGCCACTGGCCCTGTCTCTACCAGAAGGCAGGTCAGAGCAGTGAAAGTGTGAGTGGGTGTGTGTGTGATCATGGCCTTGCTGAGTTCCTAGTACCTAAAGTAAGGCTTGTCTTAGAAGCAACAGCCCAGAGGGTTGCTCTGTGATCAAGTAACACTTTGCGAAGTATTCCATGGTCAGAGGGTGGGCGGAATGGAGCAGAGCTTAGATACACAATAGTACAAGTGTGTAGACATGACCCAAGCTGGCTGATAGGCAGAGTGCCTATTTTGCATGGAGCAGTCTTGAGAACTCTTCCTGAGGACACCCACTCACTGAATGTTTTGTTAATGCTACAGACCCACTCCGGCTACTTCTCCAGTCTGTACTCTCGTCACCCGTTCAGCCCGTTCCCGCATCATCACTCAGTAAGTGCCCTTCATTTCTGCCCCAGCCACCACTCTTCCGCTCCACGGCTGCCCCACATAGCCTCTGATGGACAGGCCAGTGAGTGCCCCCAGTATAACTGTTCTCTGCTGTGGCTCTAGCCCATCCCAGGAGCGACACAACTCAGAGCATAAGTACCCCCTCACTTCTGCCCTTGCTTCCATACCTCACTGTGAGTCTGAGAACGTTTCAGGTCAGCCTGGGCCACATAGTGAGTTCCATGCCAGCTTGAGCTACATACATAGTAAGACTCTTTCTTAAAAGAACAAAAGAAAGGGCTGGAGAGATGACACAGCTGTTAAGAGCACATTGCTGCTTTTCCAGAGGACCCTAGTTCTGCTTCCAGTACCCATATCAGGTGGCACATAGATGCCTGGAACTCCACCTTCAGGGCATCTGACCTCTCTGGTCTCTATCGACCTGCAATCAAGTGCACATACTCACACACACACACACACACACACACACACACACATTTAAAAAATCTCTTTAAGGTGGGGCTGGAGAAGTGACTCAGCAGTTAAGAGAACTGGCCACTCTTGCAGAGGACTTGGATTCAATTCTCAGCACCCACATGGTGGCTAAAACCATCTGTAACTCCAGTTCCAGGGGATTTGACACCCTCTTCTGACTTCCATGGACATTGCATGACACAGGTGCCCCACCTACATGCAAGCAAATACACTCATATACATAAAATAAAAACAGTAAAATATTTTTAAAATTGAAAAAATATATTTGAGGAAGAAAGAAAACCAACTCAGAGGTGTTTCTAGGCCAAAGACAAATTTCCAGTGGAGGCAGGGGATATGACTCATTCAGTAAAGTACTTGCCATACAAGCCTGGGGACCTCAGTTTGGGACCCCACCACCCACATAAAAAGCCAGGTATAATGGAATGCTCCTGTAATCCTACCACTGGGGAACTGGGGAAAGAGGACCCTTAGAGCTCACTGGCCAGGCATTCCAGTGGAGCCAGTGAACTCCAGATTCTGTGGAGAACAATTGAGGAAGATACCCAGCAGTGACCTCTGCCTCCACCCGTGCATACACGTATATGCCATGTATACTTGCATACATCACACACACACATATGCACATTTTTTGTCAGTGATCTTTGATCAAAGTCCAGCAACTGAGGCCACATCATTCCCACAGACCTGGGTAGTAAGACCCACTGCATGGGCTTGCCTAGAAGCCCTCACTTTTTCTTCACAGGCCCCAGGAGAGGCGACTTGCCTGTCTCCCTGGGCATTTACCATGGGTCTGGTCAGAGCAGGTTGAGTCTCATAAGTGATATTCTTGATCACAAGATGGGCTGGGTAGCTTTGCCTCCCTCCAGCAGAGTGAGTGCCTCAGGGCCACATGAGTTAATAACTGCTTACACTATTATTTTCTGCATTACTATTATGTGTGTGCACACACACCACAGCACCCAGGCAGAAGTTAGAGGAGAACTTTCACGAGTCAGTTGTCTCCTTTCACCATGGGTTCCAAGATTCAAACTTGGGTCATCAGACTTGTGTGGCAAGCACTTTCACCTACTGAGCTATCTTCCCAGCCCATAATAACTATGTTGGTTCTTGGATGAGGACACAGGAGGAATAGGTATCAAATCTGCATATTCCAGAAAACCCATGAACAGACAGCTCTTGTGCCTAATGAACTGAGGTGCTCAAGAGGTGCTTGCGTGTTCTCATGCTGTCCTGCTCGAGCTCATCTTCAGGCTTATTACCCACGGAGCACCAGGCCACAGAAAGATCACACATTCCATTGTGGCTATCTCCCTGAGTAGCGAAGCCTTCCTACCTTAGGACTTGTAGGTGGTTGATGACTGTTGGGTCTTTGCCAGTGCCCAGTTAGAATGATGGCTGTGTCCGTGTTCCCTTCCAGTATCCAGAGCAGGAGATTGTGAATCTCTTCATCCCAACCCAGGCTGTGGGTGCCATCATCGGGAAGAAAGGGGCACACATCAAACAGCTGGCTCGATTTGCTGGAGCCTCTATCAAGGTAAAGGTATTCCCATCATTCCCATCAGCTGCCTGTCCCCATGGCCTTCCTCCTGCTAATGTGAGAAAACTCTGACATCATCCAGACACGGATCCACTGGACCTGCACAGTTTGTTTCCAGACTATTCCCACTGCTTCTTGTCTTTCATCTTAGTCCTTTTCTGTTAAAACAACAACTAAATTAGAAGGGAGATACTGGTAACAATCCTCCCTGGTCCTCTTAGATTTGGCATCACCTCTTCTTCCTGAGAAGCCGAAGCAAAGAAAAGCCAAAGATTTTCCCAAGCTAAGGGGGTGGACTTGAGTGGAGTGAGCGTCTGTGCTTAGCCCACAGCACTTGGATGCTTCTGTTAGTCTGTACTTTGAGGACCTTGAACCACAAGAAAATAATTTGAAAAGTGATGATAAATCCTAGGTGGACAAAAGCTGATTGCATTATCTGTTATGAGCCCGGGACTGGGTAGAAGGCTGAACAGGGGCGTCCCTTGGGTTTGTGAAAATGATGTGTGCAGATGTGGCTGCAGTTAGAAGCACATCCTGCCTCCCCTGGTTGTCAGCGAAGCTGAAAGGGAAGGATTATTTGCCCATGGTCCTGCTCCAAGCCCAGCTATCAGCTCTAACAGGCAGAATGCCGAGATGCCCCGAGCCTCATGAAATGCTTGCGGAAACAGAGTTTCCGTTGTTATGGAAAATAATTTGCTACCACGAGACAACCCAGAATTCCGAACAAGAAGTCTCATGACTTGGAGAGAGAGAAAGCTTATACTTTCTCCCCGAGAAGAGCTGGAATTTCTCCCACAGCAAGTGTGCTAAAGGAAAAAACAAAAACCATTGAGTGCTAGAGGATAAGGACACAGTGACACTGAAAGAGCCATTTCCCCTTCAGGCCTCGTCTGTCTCTGCTGCAGTTACAGACTCCCAACCAGACGGGATGAAAGCCCTGAGTGTGGAGAGCCATGATGTGGCGCATGGCCCTCTATGCCCAGCAACTTGCCACGGGTGACAGCCCAGATGACGGAGGAAGTGGGGATGAGCACAGACTTACTGCACCTGAGGTTCTTTGCTAGTGTTCTGGGCTGTTCTGAGGTGCCGTAAAGTCACCACAAGACAATTTGGACTAAAGGTATTTAGTTCAAATCCCCCGACTTTACTCAATCAAGGCATGCAAGTGGCAGATCCGGCTCTCAGACATAAATCCCACTCACCTCTAGGATATCAAGCATCTACTGGGCCCAACCACAGCAGGAACTCTCCCGTTTGCTATTGCTCATGAGGAATGGAGCCCAAAAAGTTTGATTGACTTATCCAAGGTTACAAAGCTAACGAATGTGACAGGCAAGGTTTATCCTGTTTCTGCTCCATTGGTTTATCCCCACAGCAGACTTACTGTTCTTCAGAATCATTCCCAGCAGATTTTTTAGGAAAATGAAGGTTTGGTGGAGGAGGACACAGTCGCGTGTTCCTTCAGCGTCACCCCACAACTTTCTCTGCCCTCTGCCCTAGCAAGTTGAATGGTAACGTCGCATATTGCCTTGTGGTAGACAGAGGGATCCAGAGCTTACAGTAGTTGATGGCGTTCTTTATTATGAACCAGGCTTCTCCTTCCCCAGGTCTTGCCTCTCCTGTCACATTAAAAAGGAGAAAAAAATCCATGAATGTTAAGCATTTGTTAAGAAAACTGACTTTTTAAGAAATCAGTCATGCTTTTGCTAGATTCCCCTTCATGTTGACAGACCTCCGAAAGCATTCATCTCTAGAGGATTGTGGATATTCTCACTAATGCCAGGGATCCTCCGGGCTCTGCTTTGAGGGTCTTCAGGGTTCATAGGCTGACAGTACGCTTGATGCTTCCAGAACATGAAGAGAGCTCTGCATGCATCTGTGAAGCCGAGAACTGGAAGGGTCAGGTTGAGTGGAGGTCTTCTAGGGAGACACACCCTACAAGCCTCTGGGATGGGTGTGAGTGGCACTCCTGCTGTCTCTCCTGCAGAGCTCTGGTCAGCAGGCTCTGAGTACCACACAGAATGGTCAAGTGTCAGCCAGGGTCACTGGTTCCCAATCCTCCCTTACCCTGTGGTCTTGGGTTTCCTTACTTCTCTGTCCCATTTGCTTCTGCCCCATGAAAGAGTGTGCCTGTGGAATTGACATTCCCGAACCACAGTGCATGCTCAGCTCCAAGACATCTGCTCCAGTGACTGCTGTACAGTGGCCATCAAATCAACCACCGCTGTTCTGAGTTGGTAGTAGGAGCTGGGAACCATCATGGCACTGATAGAGTCTGTCCTTTATCCTGAGCATTAAGGACTCAATTTAGTGCCAGTGGGAATATTTTGTGGGGGGACAGAGTCTCCCTAGTCTCAACCCACTTTGTAGACCATACTGGCCTCCATCTCACAGAGATCCACCTGCCTCTTAACTCTCCCGAGTGCTGGGATTAAAGGTATGCACCACCATCCCTGGTGTCCAGTGGGGGTTCTTGAAGCAAAGATAGGGCTTCCTGCCATATGACTCAGGGCGATCCTACATGCACTCTCCCTCTAGTCTCTGGACATCCTGAGGCTACTGCCAGAAAATGATTGCCCGCAATGACGGGAAGTTCCCAAGAAGCTTGGTTATTGGTTACCTGTGTCTTCCCATCTGACCTCCTACCACACAATAAGTAATCAAGGCCAGAAGATCCTTCAAATGTGCAGAATGTGCAGTGGATGGGTATTCACAAGAAAGCTGGGACACAGCACTCGACCGTGAAGTTTATGAGTGAACCCTGGCTTACAGCCTAAAACGGAATCACATCTATGAATGGAGGTCTTGCTGGGGAATCCTGAACCTCTGAGGTCGGCCGGAAACAGTACAATCACAAAGCAGTGGGACTGGCCCCTCTCCTAAGCCCCCAGTTCCCTTTGGCCTGAGGAACACTGACCCTGTATCTGATGTTTCCTCTGTTTGCTTGGTTGGTTGAGTTTTATTTGTTTTATGTATGAGTGTTTCCCCTGCACGCATGTAAGTACATCATGTACATGCAATGCCCACAGAGGTCAGAAGAGGGAACAGATACCCTAGAACTTGAATTAGTGTGGGTACTGGGAATTGAATCCAGGTCCTCTACAAGAGTAGCCGGTGCTGAGCTGGGCATGGTGGTGCACGCCTGTAGTCCCAGCACTCGGAGGCAGAGGTAGGTGGATCTCTGTGATTTGAAGGCCAGCCTGGTCTACATAGTGAGTTCCAGGCTAGCTGGGGCTGCAGGGAGACCCTGTCTCAAAAAAAAAAAAAAAAATTGCTGGTGCTCTTAACCTCCGTGCCACCTCTCCAGCCCCAGTTGGTTGGTTTTTTGGAACAGGGTCTCATATGGCCCTGGCTGGCTTCAAACGGCTTTAAGTTGGCTATGATTTAATGACTGAACTGCAATTTGTTTTAAGATGGAGTCTTGCTGTTGTTGCCAGGGTTAACTTCAAACACCTGGTTTCAAATGAGCCTCCTGATGTGGCCTCCTCTCTCTCTCTCTCTCTCTCTCTCTCTCTCTCTCTCTCTCTCTCGCGCCCTCCCTCTCTCCTTCCCTCCCTCTCTCCTTCCCTCCCTCTCTCCTTCCCTCCCTCTCCCCTCCCTCCTCTCCCTTCCTTGTCTCTCTTCCCTCTCTCCCTCCCCCTTCCTTTTTTTAGCTGCCTTAAAGATGTTTTTGAATAATATATAGGGGGGAAATGAAGTAAGAACCTCTAACCGAAACTGTTAGTGAGGTCCTTATTTACATCACAGAAGAACTCAGGCTCACAGGAAGCAAGGGTTAGAACTAGCACTCATCCTCCATGCTCCGTGCTTGTAGGTGAAGGAGGAAGCATACATGGAAGGGAGAGGTGTGTGGAGCCAGGACTGAAACCAAGGCAACCTCATCCCTGCTCTGGTGGTGGGGCATTTAGGGTCCATTTATTAAGAGAGTTGGCCATACCTGCTCTGCCTCAGCTGTGACAGCTGACTGCATAATTGAACTGAGAATTAGATCCAGGTGGGTCTTTCTGCAGCTAGGTGTCAATTTCATACCCATTGTGAATTGGTCCTTGCTTCTCTCCAGGCCCTGGGGATTGGCAAGGCTGTACCAACCTCTCCTAGAACCACTAATTCCTGGTTATTTCGTAGGACTTGGCGTGGGGAAAGAGGCCAGTTTCTGGAAGAGTGCTCATTGCAGCCAAAGACCCATATTTGATACTGAGAATTAAGGTCTTGACTTTCTGTGACCCAGGGTGAAGGCAGCACGGTGTCAGACAAAGCAGCAGGGGGGCTGGCAGGGGACGTAGACAGGCAGAGGGCTCAGCATCAACATCTTCCTCTTTCCTGTGAACTGCAGATTGCCCCAGCAGAAGGCCCAGATGTCAGTGAAAGGATGGTCATCATCACCGGGCCACCTGAAGCCCAGTTCAAGGTCAGTGCCAAGGACCACCTCAGTCTGCAGGCTCTGGGTACAGGGCAGCCAGCTCAGATCTCTTCTTTTCCCTCCTGTTGCTGCTCACGGGTCATCTCACTCCTAGAAGCCTTCTCCCATCTTTCCATGGAAAGGTGGGTTATTTTTTGATGCCCTGTCCAGGTGGGAGCCCTCAAGCCTATGTCTGGTGGGTGGCTGTTCTGGACCCTTCAAGCTGTGGGCATTGGCATGGGGTACAAAGGGGGAAAGAAATACAAAGGAAATGATTCTGTGGGGTGTGTTGTTTTTGTACTTTTTTCCTCTAGGAAGATTATAACGAGTTTTTAAAAAGTTATAAATGTGTATTCATTTGTAAAAAAGTACAGCCTTTTGTAATTAAAAACTTGAAATTTAACATAGGAAAGCATTCAAAAGCCCTTCAACTTGAATATGGACAAAATGTGGTATAGCCACACAATAGCATGTTATTCAACCATAAAAGAGAATGAGGTATCAGAGCACACTACAAAGGGGTGGACCTAGAAAACATGCTAAGAATGCAGACACAGAGATGTGTACAGTGTGATTCCATTTACATGAAGCGTAGAGGAGCAAACCATAGAGACAGACGGTATGTTGGTAATTGTCAAAGAATTGGCGTAGGAAGGAATCAACACTAGCTCCTGGTTCACCAACCAGGTGGTGGTTTTTGTCAATCCTGGGATTGAGCCCAGGGCCTCACACATACTAGGCAAATAAGGTTTCTACCACTGAGCCACATCCACAGCCCTCTTCTTAATTTTCTTTAATTTTGATACAGACTGGCCTTGCACAGTCTGCCCCAGCCTCCTGAGAAGCTGGGATTACAGGCTTGTGCCACCATTGAGGAATGGGATGGAAATATTCTGGATAGAGAGTGGCGATGGTCCACAGCTGCTGAAGTGAAGAACTGGATTAACATGTGCAGGGCCATAGGTTTGATTCCCAGCACCACAGAAGAAAAGAAAGAAAGCTAAGAAGCAGCTCCTCACATCTTACCGCCTCCCTCACCTCTGCCGCTCAATAAGCGGAGAACTAAGCGTACATCATAGAGGGAGATAGGAATGCCTTGAACAAGTTCAATCAACCAAACATTTATAGGTACTGGGGGTACGAAAATAAGTGGACTTCTGGTGACTCACCAGTATTCCCATCCTGGATACATGTGCTCCTGAGAGGAGGCAAACCGTGCAGCCTAGCAGAGTGAGGTGGTTCAGTGTACAGGTTATTTCCTGGGTCTGTGAGAGCTGAGGCAGGTACACAGCTGTCCGTGTGCTGGGAGACAGCACGTCCTGTCACTAAGACTCCAAGTCCCTTCCACAGCAGTGACGTGTTGTGGCCAGCTGCTGCCTCTGTCACCAGTCACATCTTGTCCTCAGGCCCAGGGACGGATCTTTGGGAAACTGAAAGAAGAAAACTTCTTTAACCCCAAAGAAGAGGTGAAGCTAGAAGCCCACATCCGAGTGCCCTCGTCTACAGCTGGCCGGGTGATTGGCAAAGGGGGCAGAACCGTAAGTCTACTCCAAACTCATTTCACCTGGGTGAGTTCCCTGCCCTGGCCTTGCCCCAGTTCCCTCAAATCTCCACTGGCTCTTACTCTGTCAGTATGTCAGGGCTGTAGGCTGACACACTTGGGCTCTCCGGACATGTATACCTTCTGAGACACGAGAATCCCAGGGATAAAAGTGTCATCAATACCGTCCAACACCTAGGGCCCAGTTCCATGGTGCTGAGCCTAGCACCAGAAGCCCCGTGCTCCTGTACCAGACACACAACCCAGCTCCACATCCCAAAGAAGGCCATCTTCCCCACACACATCCACACATAGCAGATAGAGCTTAGCAAAGAGGGCGGCATCCACCCAGAGTATCTGCTGCCCACCTGCTACCACTGTGTCCAGATGCTGTAGCTCTGTCGTACAGGCTTTATGATAGCTGTCTCCGGGGGCTGTACAGTCCCTCTTCTGGTTCCTTCCCAAGTCTAGCTCTCTGCCACAGGGAGCTGGCAGGAATAGAGGATAGGAAAGAAATTATTTTTTTTAAGTAATTTAAGCTTTCAATCTGAAGGTGGCAATAATACAGTATCATTTAAATTCCAGAGTTGGGGCGTGTAGTTCAATGGTAGAGCATGTCTTTAGTATGTATGGTGCCCTGGATTCAATTCCCAGCACCTCCCAAATGGAAAGTACCCATGCATGGACACTGTAGAAATGAACAGGTTCTGGAGCATGACTCACTCACTTGGTGAGGAAATAACCTTGAGGTGTTCAGTAGCACCTAGTGCTCACTGTGAGGTGGCATTGGTGAGTGGCAGAACTCGGGGTGAGGGCAGCTCAAGTTCTAGATATAACAAGTCACATTTATGCAAAAGAATAAAGTTACCTGGAGTGCAGATAGTAGTAAAAAGTTCTGAGGCATGCACGCTGAGCACTTGGCAGAGCTGACACGGAGAAGACAGGAGAAGCAAGTTATCCAGCAGGTAGTAAAGTCCTGAGTATGTCCCATGAGGTTGTTTTAGGACCACCAAGTTCTCTATATCTCCAGAGATACCCGGAACCTGCCTATGAATAAGGGACAGACCCCTCAGGATGGGGACACTCTGCACAATGCTGGAGATGGGCTTAGAGAGGGGAGATCAGCACTGCCTGGGAGCTTCCTGGAGGAGCTCCATCTGGAGTGACCAGGAGAAAGGATAACAACCCAAGACTGGGAGCAGCATAACAAGATCTGGCAGCAGGAGAGAGTGGAGCGTAGGCTGGGGCTGGTTTGTGGGGTGTCCTAACACCTGCTTGTAATCCTAGCACTTGGGAGGCTAAGGCAGGAAGACTGGGAAGCCAAAACCAGTTTGAGCTAGTGAGTTCAAGGCCTGCCTCAGCCACACAGACTTTGTCTTAAAAACCCACACAGAATTCTTAGGAGATGGCTCAGTTGGCAAAGTGTCTGCTGTGCAAACATGAGGACCTGTGTTCAGATGCCCAGAACGCATGTTAAAGCCAGGCACAGTGCCATGTGCTTGTAACTCCAGCCGTTGGGTCGGAGACAGAAGACAGGCAGACCACTGAGGCTTGTTAGCCAGCTGGTCTTTCCAGATCAGTGAGCTTCAGCTTCACTGAGAGACCCTGTCTTGGAAAATAAAGGTTGAGAAGTGGCTGAAGAAAGATACCAGACCTGAACATGAGGTGGGGGCAGGAAAGAAAAGAAAGAAGGACTGAGGGTGCAGTGCAGGTGGCAGACTGCTTGCCTAGCATGCACAAAGCCTTCCCTGGGTTTAATACCCAGCACCCCACAAGCCAGATGTAGTGCTGCACATTTGTAATCTCAGCACTCAGGAAGTAGAGTGGAGGGTCAGAAGTCTATGATCATCTTCATCTTACAGCAGTTTCAAGGCCAGTTTCAGCTAAACAGCTCTGGCTCACAAGAAGAAAGGGAGGGAGGAAGGTAGAGGAGGAAAGAAAGTCATGGAGGAGGGAAGGAGAAGAGGGGGAGAGTGAAAAGGAGGTTGGTTTATGCTAAGACAAGAGACCACAGCTCATGGCCAGCAGCCACGTTTGGAGCTCAAACCCACAAAAGCCCATATAGCCAGGGCAGGTCCTAGACTGAAGCAAAGGAAAGAGGATCCAGGCCCCCATTCCTCCTACCTCCCTGTTCCCCTTGCCTCCCTACCCCCAGCCCCCCCATCTCTCATCTCACTTATCCCTCCAGTGCCCTGGTGTTGGCTTTGGTGCAGGAAGGCCCTCTCCCTGCCCACTGCCTTCTCTGCCTGCACAGGTGAACGAGCTACAGAACTTGACCAGTGCAGAAGTCATTGTGCCTCGGGACCAAACGCCAGATGAGAATGAAGAAGTGATTGTCAGAATTATCGGGCATTTTTTTGCTAGCCAGGTACTATCCTGTGAGGGACCTGCCTCCTGCCCAGCTCTTTCTACTATACTAGTGCCAAGTGGCACTTGCTTGATCGCCACCCCCCGATACACACACGTATACTATGCACCCCTGGCCCCTGGTGCCTCAGCAACTAGAAACTTGAGGCCAGGCCTACCAACATGCTCAGGTTGGGGGCTTAGCATTCTCTGCTCTCCCAGCCTTTCTCTGTGGGAAGCCACATGCCAGGCGAGCCCTCAGTGGAGCAGCCCAGTGCCCATGTCTTCTTGTGAAAGGTTAACTGCTCATGGAAGGGACTCTTGCTTCCTGTTGCTCTCCCCATCTTAGCAGTGCCCTGCCTCCACTGGTGCTTCCCCTTCATTCAGGAGGCCGGCACCACAATGAACTTAGATCTGGTTGTTTTGGAAGTCAGCACCTCTGGGAGGAGGGCAGTCTCCTCATGCTCACAGCCTGCTTTCCTGTGGCCTGCTGGGGTCAGCTCAGTCTGCAGGGAGCTGGGCCTCCGGCCCTGAGCTCTAGCTGTTCAACTTTGTCCAGGCCTGGCCTCAACCTCCTTCCCCTTCTCTGCAGACATTCTGATGCTCTGGAAAGGTGGGTGGGGCCACAGCTATTCAGTATATGCGGTGGCTCTCCACCTCAACACTGGGCTGCTGAGTGCCAGACAGAGAAGGCCTCACAGCAGGGAGCCTGGGGGAGGTGACACTTGTCTGAGCATCCCACTGCCCTTCCCCAGGTCCTAGCTGTTCCCTTTCCTCTGGGGCCTCAGAACTGGGCTCCTCTGTTCCTCTGGCTTCTCCCCTCCCTTTTCTCCTTTGCTGCAGACTGCACAACGAAAGATCAGGGAAATTGTACAAGAAGTGAGCCAGCAGGAGCAGAAATACCCTCAGGGAGTCGCCTCACATCGCAGCAAGTGAGGCTTCCCCAGGCACCAGCAAGTAATGGATGAATGTAGCCCTCCCAACATCAGAAAGATGCGACCAGACCCAGCCAACAGATTGGGAGCAAACCAAAGACCATCCTGAGGAGGAAGAACTCTGCAGAGACAGCCAGGGCCTGCAGACCCCTGCATGTCCTGCCGCTGAGGAGGGCACAGGGAAGGCCGGGTTCCCAGAAACCAGAACCTGCTTCCCCCCACCTCTTCCCTGGCTTCTGCAGGCTTCCCAGCCATTCACTGCCCATCCATCCAGATTTCCCCACCTCCCACGATGCTATCCCTTCTAGTTGAACTAACATAGGTGAATGTGTTCAAAGCAAAGTTGACACCCTTTTCTTTGTTGTGGAAGGCTATCTCTGTACATGTCTGTACATATTAGAAGGGGAAAGATGCTAAGGTATGTGGCCTGTGGGTTATACAGGGTGCCTGCAGCATTAATATATTTTAGAAATAATATATCAAATAACTAACTCCAATTCTTACTCAGTTATTTTGTTTTCTTTTTGAAGAGAAAGCAGGTTTTTCTAGATTTCAAAGAATAAAGTCTTAGGGGCGGTCTACTGGTAAAGAAAGGAACTTTGGAGCCACACAAAATTCATATGGAGGGAATTGTGTCAAGAACATGTGCAGCAGTTATGGATCACCTGTGTCTGTCAACAGAAGGGATACCGTCCTTGAGGGGGGCCTTAGTCCCTCTTCATCCTATCTAGCCCACACACCCATTTCTCTGCTTCACAGGTTTTAAACTGGTTTTTGCATACTGCTATATATTTCTGTCTTTCTATCCCCCTCCTCCCCACGCCCCTTCTCCTTCCCTGACCCTTGATTCTTTTGAATTCCCTCATCCCTATCTTGGTCTTCCCATATGTATGCAACCCCCACCCAGGCAAAGCAGTGCTCTGAATATCACATCACATAAGGAACAAATGCGAAACACACAAACCAGCCTCATCTTACACTTGGTCACTCGAAGTAGCAAGAGTCAGTGGTGCTTGTCTTGGCACTTTGGAAGAGGAAAACGGAAACCCACCAAACCAGCCAACCAGACAGAACATTTACGTAAAGAATGTATTTTGTCTCTACATTTTGGTATATAAGCCATCAACATTCAGCAGAATGATTTCTTGAAAAGTTTAAAATGGAGGAAAATAGCAAACTTACACAGGTTGTTGGCCTAGGGCGTTAAATTTACAGATTTTTTTTTAAAATGAGAAAAACACACAAAAAAAGCTACCTCAGGTGTTTTTACCTCAGCACCGCGCTCTTGTGTTTCCCTTAGAGATTTTGTAAAACTGAGAGTTGGAGCATTTTTTATTTTTTTAATAAAAATGAGTTGAAAATAAAAAAAGATATCAACTGCCAACCTGGAGAAGGCAACAGCCCGTGTGTGCAACAGCTGTTCTGAACCGTCTTCCGCTAGCCAAGAACCTACATGGCCTTGTGGACAAGCCTTGAAAATGTTTATTTTTAAAAATGACGAAAGAACAGAGAACATTTGAGATGGCCTGAATTTCAGTAGGGTATGCGCCATTAGGGCTTTTTGTGCTAAAGGACGAACAAACAGGTGCTGGTTTATGTGAAGAAGCCTTTACACCACCAGACTGCAATGCCAGTTTCCTCTACTGCAAACAGTGTTCTGTGACAAAAAAAAGGAAAAAAAAAAAAAAAGAAAAAATATATCCAGCTAACAAGATTCTGGTGTCCTTGTGTTTTTTCCTAAGCATTGTGTTCTCCCAGAGCGTCAGCTTTTGTGCTCTGAGGGACTCGGGGAAAGAGCAGCTGGTACAATCAGAACCTGGGCCTTGCCACAATTGTGTGTGAGCAGCTGAACCAGGTAAGTGGTCCTCAAATCTGCTTCCCTGAGCAGCAGCTTTCAGCCTCTCCTGGGCACTGGGGAGAAATGCAGGTGGTCCATCCTGAATCATCTCGCGGGAGACTGGGCATGTGTTTCAGTAAACCTTGCAAGTGATTCCTGAGAACTCTGCAACTAGAGGACAAATTGGCTGTGCGGCAGGCTGAGCGAAAGTGCAGTCAGGCTTTGAGCCCGGCCAGGGTGCGAATTTTCCTGTAATGACAGCTGCATGACAGTTCAAGGGACGCAATTCTGTATCTCGCCCCTTAGAAGCCTAAGTAGACCTGTAATGGGAGGATGAGGCTTGGACTGCAGGGTGTTCCACTTGACACCCCATGACACCACTGAAAGGTGGATGGGAAGAGACCCTGCTCCTTTTTCCTCTTTTACCTTTGAGACAGGGTCTCTAGTCAAATTCTTCAGCTTCCCAAGGACTGAAATCACAGGCTCCCTGCTTGACTATTCTGGTTTTTTGCTTTTTATTTATTTATTTATTTTGAGACAGGATGTTGGGATGTAGCCCTGACCAGCCTGGCCCAGGATTTCCTCAGATTTGAAGTTGTTCTCCTGCCTTACAAGTGCTGGGATTACAGGCTTGTGCCACCACACCCACAATACCTGCTTCATTCATAAGCTTATGTCCATAGATCTATAGGGTCTGCCTGAAACAGCAACAAACACTCCATGGAAAAAAGAGCTGAGACTGTCAGGGCACAGGCAGTTGCAGCTACTCGGCACTACTCAGTCCAGGCTATGCAGCAAGACCCCATTTAAAAGTAGAGCCAAGAGGGCCAGGCATGGTGCCATCCATCTTAGTCCCAGCACAGGCAAGAGGATCTCGGGGAGTTCAAGACCAGCCTAGTATAGACAGCAAGTTCAGGCCAGCCAAGGCTACAGAGACCCTGTCTCAAACGTTTGCCAGAAGTAGCTAATTAAGCTCTTAGGTGACTCAACACAGCCAGAGCTAATGGTGGTAGGCTGATGGGGTTCTGAAATAACTCCTAAATCACGACAGCCTCAGAGAATCCCAGAGGTTCCTCACAGCCAAAGCTACTCAGCTGTTCCCTGAGTTAAATGGTCCTGGCCAAATGGACGGATTGAAAAGCAGCACATCATTAAAGTCAGGGCTTTAAGTACAGCTCAGAGTCCAAGAATTGACTGCTGACTCCACCCCTCAGGGTTAATTTATTCCAAGTAAAATTTCAAACTGAGCTCCTAAAGTGCACATTTCCCCAGTACTGGTCAATGAGCATGCATGAGACAGGGCAGGATATGGCAAGTTGATGCCTAGATTGCCCTGGTACAAAGCTTTCTAGTCCTGGGGTTGCAGAAATGAAAAGGGAGGCAGAACAAGATCAGATGGCCTTGTTCAGGCTGAAGAGCCCATCTTCAGAGACCCACCAAGTGCTGGGTTAGGGGCTCTCTAGCATTCCTGGGACACCACCAGCAGAGCCTACCTCCTGTGCCAACCTCCTGCAGTAGGATCAGCCTTAGGAGGTGACCTGGGTACTAGTAACTCCACCACACATGCAATGGCTTAGATCACTACAAGCAGTACTCATTTCTTCAGCTATAAATCCCAGACTTGGATGGCTCAGTGGGTAAGAGTGCTTGTTGCATAGACACAAAGATGAGATCCCCAGCACCCATATAAAAAGCCAGGTGTGACCCGTGACCCCCAGCAGGGTGGGGGAGTGTGGTGGTGGGGATGACTTGCTGACCACCAGCCTAGCTAAAATACCAGTTTCAATGAGACACCCTGTCTCAAAAAAGGCAGAGTGATAGAGAATGGGACCCAGCATTCTCTGGCCTTTGTACATGCATGTACATGCACACATGCATACACATATGAGTCCTAGACCATCTGGACATGACTGCCTAATCCAAGAAATCCCCAAGTACACATAATTGTACACCAAAATTAAAGAATAGCTGTTAAATTTGAGACTTTGGGGGCTTTGTCTTTTTTATTTTTTTCCAGAATTTCATACAATGTATTTTGATATTTAGACTCTCCCTCTCTGTCCTCCCTGACCAGCCCCCCAATTAAGTATTTTTCTTTTTTTTTTTTTTAAAAAAAAAAAAACTAATCCATGCCTCCCAAGTGCTCCTGGGTGTGGGTCCATGCCCTGGAGTCTGATCAACTCTCCCTCTCCCAGCATCCATTAGTTAGGCCTGGGGCTTCCTGCCCACTTCCCCAATCCATGCTGGGCCACTGTGTGATTTTGATTTGCATAGGTCTGCTGTCATAAGTGCTGTGGTTTCATTTGTGCAAGAGTCCTGTGATATCCATACAACTGGATGGTGCAACTTCCCTGTAATGTCCTGCCTTGTATTCATCCACTACCTCTAGCTCTTACAATCTTTCTGCCCCTTCTGCAATGATCCCTGAGCCTTCAGAGAGGTGTGATACAGGTGTGTCCCACTTAGGGCTAAGCACTCTAGTCTCTTAGGCACTGCATGTTGACCAGGTGTAAGTCTCCATGTTAATTGCTATCGGCTGCAAGAAGAACCTTCTCTGGTGAGAGTTGGAGAGATGCACTAATTTGTGGGTATAACAAATTATTGTGAGTCAATTTAATATTATGTCTACCTAGCAGAATGATAGTAGTAGGCTCTCCCCTATGATCTGTGATTTGTTTAGCCACAGGTTCTGACTTTGATAATGGTGTCAGGTATGGATTCCTTCTTGTGAAGTGGGCCTTAAATCCAATTAGAGGATGGTTGGTTACTCCCATATTATTTGTGCCACTATTGCACCATTGGGTATATTTTACCCAACCAGTTGTTATTTTAGCTCCCAGGGTTCACAGCTGGGTAAGGTTGATCATTGCCTTTGTCTGTAACATGCACAGCACCGTCTAGTACTATGAAAGCTAGCCAGCAGAGATGCAGCTTCAGGATCAGCACCAGCTTGATTTCTTATTTAGTGATTCAGGTATGTAGTATCTTCAGCAATAGGGTTTTACCGTCATGTTCTGGTGGGAAACCAGGTGCAATAGCCAATATTGTTTGAGGCTCTTTGGGATCTCTTCTGGTCAACAATTTCAAAAGAGGGAGATTCCTGGCATTGAGCCTTGCATTTGCGAGCTCGTGAGAAAAGTTTTACTAGTCTATACTGCACAGAAAGCCTTTCCCCACTCCCTTGAAAATGTGGTGTTTAATGCACCCATCTCACTAGACTTGGTAGTTAGGCCTGAACATCCCATTCATTTTATCGGTCACACTCACCCACCCAATGCCATTCTTGTCTTTTTGACCACAGAGCTCAGACAAGAATGATGGTATATGTTCGTTGCAAGTCAGAAAAGGATTCCAGTCAGCATAGAGGAAAAACTTGAAAAACCACAACTAGCAGAGAATGGATAGTCTAGCTTGGAAGGTTTCACAAAGAAAAGGACTAGCCCTAGACAAGAAGAGGGCATCTTCAGAGACAGGAGGTAAGGGTGGGAGAAACACTCTTTAGGGGCAAGCAGGGAAGATCAGTGGCCTGGCACTTAGGATGCCAGTGACTCGATGAACAGAGCTTCAAGGGGTAAAGACTTGATGGGAATGAAAGCATTGGAACTGGGCTTATTCCTCTATGCCTGGGGAAGGGTGTGGCCCATGTGTTCACTATGGGACGTGCCAACTATTGTAGCTATAGAGCAGGCTGCATCACACATGTTGGACTCCAGGTCCTCCAGTGCCCATGGCCCTCACATTTGCTGCTGACTGTTGCTGTTACTGTTTCTACTCTTCTTTCCTTTTTCTTTTTACACTTATTTTTATTTTTTGTGTATGAGTGTGTTGTCTGCATGTATGTAAACGCATCTATGTTGTGCCCACGGAGGTTAGAAGCAGGCACTGGATCCCCTGGGACTGGAGCTACAGACACGTTAGCCACCATGTGGGCTGGGATTCAAACCCAGGTCCTCTGCAAGAGCAGCCAGTGCTCTTAACCACTGAACCATCTCTCCAGCCCCTCCTTTCCATTTTCATACTGATGCATAGGAATTTCAGATGCATCCCACTCAAATAAGCCCCATTGGTTACTGTCTTTTTGGAAGCTACGACTGACCATACTTAACAGCTCTTGTTTAAACCTCAGAAACAAAAATAATCCTACTTGACTTCAGTGGCCCTTGCAGCCTCTTGTCACAGCAGTGATTGAGCATGCATCCAAGAACCTCAGTTTGTAATGTTAGGTCACTGCCTCTTAATCTTTCTGACATAGTTGATAAACAGTGAAGAATATTCCTATTTGCCTCCAAACATATCTAGAGAGACTCTGAAAACAACTCAACCTGAGCCTACCTCCAACTATCTGCCATTTAAACAACTCCCACAACTAGCTAAGGTCCCCAATTCCCCCAGTCACAAGAGTACTTGAGTGGCTCTCATTGAGCTCAATCCCATCCTCACTGGATTCCCCAAGCTGCAGCTCTGGCAGAAGGCCTTCATGGCCATTCAATCTACTTTGCTAATGCAGCCTGAAGACCTCGCTAACAACCCACTGCCCTATCAGGAGAGGAGAATGCAGCTCTTAAGTCTGGCAGTTCTGTCTTAGCCCAGGCGGCTGTTCTTTCTTCCTCTATGCTGAAATTTGAAGCCCATGTCGTCACACCATTGTCTGCTATCCCACTCATAGGACAGTTCTCATGCCTCTGCATGCCGTGCCTTCAAAAGCCACAGTCCACAACTGGGGCATGCCTGGGAGCCTTGTGCCAGAAACAGCAAAGAGGCCATGGAAGGAAAGGACAGTGGGCAGAGCTCTGGGGTCACACACTAGGTCCTCTCCCACTTACCAGCTTCACTTTCTTATCAGGAAAACAGAATGGTCAAGCCTGGAAGATCTTTCTCTCCTTGCCTAGGTGCCCACTGTACTGATGTTGGCACCTGCCTGTAAAAGGTCAGAACATTATAATCTTTGGCTCTGGTTTAAGTATAGGGGATTACCAAGTCAAAAATGGCTTCTAGTAGGCGTGGGAGTACAGGCCTTTAATCTCAGTACTTGGGGAGCAGAAGCAGGCAGAACTCTGTGACTTTAAGGCCAGCCTGGTCTACATAGCTAGTTCAGGCCAGCCAGGGCTACTGTAGCTCCAAAAAAAAAAAAAAAAAAAAAAAGCCATTTTCCATTTTAAACACCAAATCTCTC